GAGCTTCGATTGCAAAGTTGACAAGTTGAACGGCTCTCTGGCTAGAATGGTCAACTTTTGATGGCCTATCTTGGTGTCTTCAGCTTTGATCGAGTTTTTGCACGGCTCGCCTTTCTTCGGCGTCCCGCAACAGGAACCAGGACCCTCGTGAGGGCTGACGTCGATCTCGCAAACAACAAATGGGTTCCAAGGCAGCATAGTAGACATTGAGTTGATGAAAAAGGGCAAAAAATGATCCGGATGGGAGTTGGTGTTGAGCAATCTGTGCAGCGTTCCAACGCCAGCTTTATATGCCATCGCCATGGGATCTATACCTACATAGCCTCGTGGCTGCTGACATGGAACTTCTCCCTTGAAACAGTGAATACGTCGAAGAATGCATTCGGATGCAGTATGCGCCGCTATACAGCCAAGCAGTGGCCTGCATGAAGGGACGTCTCATTCCAGATCACTGTTGCTTAAATCAATTGCATCTGTGGCTGTACATTACAAGCATGCATTGGCGTAATGTCTGGCTGCCGTTCCAGGTGGCATGGTCCGCAACGTTGTTTGTCGCCTATGGACATTACGAATTGCGCGTTAAGGCGTGGTTTGCTTCAACGCTGGAAGCTCTGGATGCGACATATGATATAGGAATCCCTTTTCCGCCCTGGGAAGGCATGGTGCCACCCCAGGAGCTCAACAGGCTTTGAAAGCCCCATATGCCCTCACAAGCACAAGCCAAGCATTCAGAATGGGAAAGCTATCTCCCGGAGCGACAATACTAAGTCATTTGTGATGAAGCCATCCGGGTCCCCACAAGGCCTGGTTAAACACTTATTCGTGGGATAAGGCGGAAGTATCCAAGAAGGCTAAGAATTAAACTTGAAGTGACCTTCCTAGAGACTGAATGGCTATCTCTAGGAATTTAGAAATTGCCCCCAGGAACACTGCCATGCGTTCCTTGGAGTCTCTGAGCTCCTTGTGGGGGTCTCACGTATCTGTAGATGAGGACAGCGTATTCAGATCAGTAATCAATATTAAACAAAGCTATAGTCGACTCTAGATACAAGAGGTAGCGCGAGGAAGCAAAAGGAAGGTAGCTTCCTCGCGTTCAGGGGAACCAAAATACACCATGTGGGTCCCGCGCAGATCATATCTCCATCCGTTCCATATGCTTCATGTATATCCTTGACACTCCTAAACTCCAATAACAGAGCTCCTAAGGTAGATTCCAGGAGCTACCGGATACGGGAAGTCAAATGACTTCGCTCCGCTGATCATTTGTCGTGCATACATCTTTCTTGGGCGATATAAAGGCCAGAGAGTAGTATTGTACTATTCTATATCAATTCAACTTCTAAATCTTCAATAAACCAGATACATTGAAGCAAACATCAACATGCCTCCACAGAGAAAAAGAACAGCGCACTTTTTCGGCCACCGCCCCCTCCCGAGGCGCTCGCTCATCTAGCCACACTCACAAACGACCACTCAAGACTTATGTGGGGCACGGGAAGCCTTTCAGCCAGACGGCAAAAAACACAACATGGAAAGGAGAGATTGGGGATCATAACCACCAAAATCCACGCTGAATATGCAGAAATTGTTGGCATGAATTACGAGATGGAGGGGATGCTACAAAAGGGGAAAGAAATGAGTGGCAGAACTGGAAAACCACATACAATACCTGACGTATTGCCTTCAAACAGCCGAGGAACGGGGTTGGGGACTTGAAGAGCGGGTCAAAGAGCGGGTCAACAAACTTGAAGTTGAGGTGGTATCGAAGGCTGGGACATCGCGAACACATCAATAAAGATAACAGTGAGAGACATTCATCTTATGGATTCGTACAGGGATGAAAACCCGCTCTCAATATTGATGCATTGGTTCAATTTGTGCGAGCAGCGATGTTGATGTGTGTTGTGTTGAATGGTCAGGCGGGAAAAACGACGGTTCAACTTTCGGTCACGTTGAACACAAACGTCATACTGTAACACACGGTCCTATTTTGTGATGACGCTCCCTATGTCAACTCAACAAGTCGTGAGGCTTGCAGGTTTTTCTGTGAATCGAGTGATAAGACGTTGTCTTTCAACGTGACCAATCCGAACTACAAGCCCTTCGCGCGTCGAAAGGAGATTTTAGCTTACAACAGTAGTGGTAGAAGCTCTAGCCGACCATCAATAGAATGCAAGTATTTTAATTTTTACATGTACAGTACAGTGTATGAAGAGATTTCTTGTTTACAACCCACTGGATCTCTCAAGACTTCCATTCCAAGAAAGGCGAGGCTCTCATTGCGCTTTCAGGAAGTGGAATATTCTACATCATGGATATATATCGTTGCCGTAGCCTGCATATCGCTTTGCGAGTTGGTAAATCAACTTTGCGAGGGGTCAGGGCAAATGAACACTACTACTACTAGCTGTATTGGCTGTACTGGATTGGGGCGCACAGCTATTAATTACTAGTCTTTGCTCTGTTTAGATGAAATGGAGTTTGGAATTTCATTAAAGCCGAAAGCGAGAAGCTACAAGAAGGAGTATACGCTGCGAGCACAAATTGGAGTCCTTCCATCGACTCCACCAGCAAGGTCGTGGGCGGCAGTTTCAGTTAGTACGCGCAGCCAGATACCTCTGATGACAGCCAGCCCACCAAGCAGGATCAGATCTGCGTTCGCATCAGCAGCCAACAATCATTTGGACCCAAAATATAACAACCACACCGAATAAAACATCGTCGACCGAGACACCGTTCTAGACGAATCTCACCCTTTTTGTACGTAGCTGAGATTGCCCCTGCGTTTGAAAGGAGCTGTAGCACCTTTTGTGGTCTATGCCACTTTGCCGCACCCTTTCCGATTGCTCTCTGTTGCTGGTGGCGGTCCTCTCACTCACCAAGAACCGCCCAGGGGACACTGTGTGCCAGTAATCCAAGAACAAATTCTTGATGGACTCTCTGTTCCTGGCGCATGCCTCAATCCATAGCGATATCCTATCTAGGTCTAGCACATCGGGGTTGCCACCACTTAAGGGCAGCAATTCTGCGAGTTCATATTTGCCTCGAAACACGGCAAACCAGAGTGCTATCTGTCTGTTGCAATGCAAAAGGTCGATTGCTATACCACGGTGTTGAAGCAGCTTCAGGACAGTAGTCGACCCGTATTCCACGCTATACCACAAGCCACTTTTGCCGGCCTGATTTCCATATTGATGAGCGTATTTTTGTTCCTCGGAAAAAGGGGGATGGTCGAGTCGGACCCATATTTCACGGCTGTCATCGAGGGAGAGAAACCACCAAACAAAGCGTTGACTTTGGCTCGATACGATAGGAGAGCAGAGTCTTAGCGAATTTGGCGTTGTTTGTTTTGGCGGCCCAATGCAACGCGGAACTGTTCTGATGTGATGTTGTGTTTTATCAGAGCCAGCCGTAACTTAGGATAGACTGTTCGGTTGGCCCGAGCAAGAGCCGACATTTCCGGTGCATTCAGGAAGTTCCTTATGATCCAAAGAATCTCGGTCGGCAGGTCGAGGATACTTGTCCGTACCTAGTCAATCTTTGAATACTTGGGCAAGACATTTCGCTGTAGCATTTGGAAAGATGGACTCTCAAACCGTGGCTCTTGGAGTCAATTTCAGCTATCGACCAAGAAGATAGGAAATATGAGTTATCCCGAAAATGGTAAAAGTTCAACTGGATGGATGACTAAAACGCAGAGCAGTGGACGTGCAACGACTGTAACAGGGAGGCAGATTATATAGGCCCTTTCACTATCGGAGATGGTCCCATAAAATAGTAGTATGTAGAATACCTGGGAGACGGTCCCAGGAGTCACATGGCCCCGGGAAAACCCGAGGTAGCCTCTGAGGGCTTCTACCTCCGTCTCGGAGACTCACGTCATGTTTCTGATGATGGATCCCTCAACCTTGCGAACACACGTCTTCGCTCTGTGAATCTGTTACTCCTGGGAATATGGCTTGGCTTTCGGACAAGGATCGGATTTGTGCGCTGGTTTGGCGAAGGTATCGTGTCAGGCAAAACATTGAATCTAGTGCCCAGAAGTAGAGTCCCATCAATGCAACAGCTCTCAGACCCAGCCCAAATGTGTTCCGAATGCCCGTTTTGTAGTCATTCAGGAATTTGGACTGGAATTACCAGGGAATACACAGCTCCTAAATAGAGAAGGCTTTCCCTTTCCCCTCTTCGCGGTACAATATATGTCCAGAGGCCAGGAGAGAGAGATATTTTTCTCTTATTGACTAGCATCAACCACGAGCGAATCCGTAAAGTTTCGTACAAAACAACTAATCATCAAGTTGCTATGTGGATTCAACTCTAGCTTCATACATTCAGGGGCTTCGCTTTATTAAGTCCTTCTGAGTAGACCGTCTATTGGTGATCTTCCCCAGACAATTTTGGAGCACTCGAATCGTTCTGCACCTCATGTGCAAAATAAACTTTTCACGAGCCGCAAGAGACAGGCTGACTTAATTATGAGCGTGCCGTGGAGTTGAACGATTAATTTCAGCGCGAGTAACTGATTTGGCTTAAAATGAGCGCCAGCGCAATTGCGTGCAAAATTACGAAGCTGCAATTGGAAGAAAGGAAGACTCCTTTGGTAGCGGATGGAGCGGGGAGCCGTGCCAGCCAGAACTTGTTGCTTGGAGAGAAAGACGGGACCTGAGATCTGTTCTCTTAGTGAAGTTGGGAACAATCGTATTACAGTACCAGTGCCGAAAACGTATCTTTCATTCGTCCAGGCCTTCTCCCCTCTCGGTGGCTTCCCTAGTCTGGCCACGGGTTTATCTAGAACCCGCATATTGAGAATTTCCATTGGTCATCCGCGATAGATCTGCAGGCTGGGCGCAATCACCGGCGCTTAGAATGCAGGGGCGCCATACCTAGTCGTGAACCATCACGTGTTACTCCCTTTTTGTCTTAGCTTCTCCTATCATTGCTACTTTCAAAGACGAAAGCTCCAGCTTGAGTTTCTCCGCACCACTGTCAGGTTCCGCGTTATGGGCATCATAGAAAGTAAGATACTGGTGGTGAAATTGGCGACTGCATGTTCAGTCGCCGAGCAGAAGGGACAAACTGAAGTTCAACATGTTCTCTCAGACCAGCAGGTCAGTCAGTACTATCAGAAAGGCATTTCATGTCTAATCAAAAGCAGGTCGTCGACTGTCTCGCAAAACTTTGGAAGCATCTGCCTGATGTTTCAAAGCAAAAAGTCGATCCCTCCTATCGCAAACGCTGTAGGAAAGCCCCAAGAAAGCTCAAAGACGAGAAAATCGATTTATCCAAACACTTGAAGGCAAACATGGCGCGGTGGAGTACAGATATCCGCTCATTTCTTTATGCAAATGGCACTACAGAGCCTCCCAGCATCGTGACGTGTCCGGTTGCAGGGTTCTACGAAGAGCTTTCAAAAGCCGAAATTCGCAACTCCGGGGATGCCATACGTTTGCGTTTTCTGAAGGTCCTGTTCCATCATTTGAAAGACAGGTTCTGCGTAACGTATCTTCGGCCTAATGCCGTGGAATGGATCACTCAAAGAGTTCTCGCGGCGGGGTTGGATGACGGTGACTCAGGCAGGATTACGTGCAAGATCAAAGACTGGGCTTACGTGGGAGGAAGATACGAAGCATTGAGCAGAGATTTAGGAGACTACAATGCGACACAAGATTACAAGTATCTAGGAAGCTTGTTTCGGTTACCTGATGATGTCACAGATAGATAGTGAGTGGATCAAACAATTTGGATTCTAAGCTAATCACTCCACAGCTTGCTGAAAGAAGTTCCCGTTAAAGGCGAAGACAGGACAAGCTTTATTAATTCGTTAACACGTCGTGGTGTCTGCAACCTTGAAAAAAGTGAAGACACGGACAATTTGGCGAATGAAATCTTTTGCTATCTGTGGAATAAGGTCGAGTCGTCAATTTCATTTGGACAACCCGAACAAGGAAGCCCATTTGTTGGCTTGAAAGGTAGCGTTGACTAACAGTACGGTAACCGCTGCATTTGTTGACAATGTTTCAACTAGATTGGCGTCGTTTACAAGGCACTCGAATCCTCAGACTCCAGAACGTGGATCACCCAAGCTTGCATTTCACAAACCCTGCACAGAATTCAGAATCAGCGGGAACAAGTCAATGTACCCCCGTCAGAGGAGAGCTTGGTACCGACTGTGTTCAGCAGGTATCAAGCGAGCTCGAAACCCCGGATGGGCCCACTACCAATCGGACACAAGCGTCTGAAATTTACACTAGCAACTTAACGGCATGGGACTCAGGGGTGTCGGGTGCCAATGAAGGACGTCCAAGTGGCTCTCAGAATGTTGGAACCGCCTTTCAGGATTCTGCGAGAATGTTTGCACAGATTGACCAAGAGAGGACGCACTTCAACCCTACGACGAGCGATGAATTTTTCAGTCTATTTCCAAATCCCCAACTCGCCAACCCTGAGGCACAAATCGATATAGATTCAGCACAAATCGGTTCTGCGAGATGCGAGACTCTTTATTCGCGCAACGTCTCAGCTTGATAATATCAAGACTAATTGCAGAGGAGAATCTCAGGCTGCACTCCGCATGGCTACGTTTTCTCGCGCAACACATAGAACCGAAATCGCACTTCGTTGACCCCGGGAAAAGGAAGATAACACTTGCCTTAAATCTGCTAGGATCTAAACAATGTGAAGTTCTCGGCTTTGTGAAAACTATATTATATTTATATATAACTATGCGTCGCTCTGGTAGCTAGTTTCCGAGGAAAGAACGCCAAACAAACTTGTACAAATTTAGATTCCAGAAGATGGGATAAGCCTCCTTGACCCTGACATGCAACCTAAGGCAGAAGGACGATAAGACAATCCAATTGAGCATCCAAGTTCAAAGTGCTCGTGAGTTGGATATAGGTGCCAGGCTTAAGAACTTCGCCTGCAACCTGCACCTCTCCTGACACTATGCTTTCAGGCCCCGAGCCAATAGACAGTGGGAAAAACAACAACGATCGATAATTATCAGGCTTCTCGATCGAACTGTTCCCATATATTCGCAATAGTCCAACAAGATGGCCCTAGAATCTCTTAGAATCTTCAAATTAAGACTATCAAGAACGTATTTGTCTTTTACCTGTATTTTGTCATAACCCAGTTTCTCCAATAACGGTCGTACTTTCGCTTCACGAGCTTCTTTATCCATACATCTGGAAAGGTTCTTTTCCCCCTTCTCCTCCCCCATTTCGGCTGTTTTGTAGACCCATGTCGCCAGGTTCTTCAACTCCAAAAAGGCGTCGTCAGCGATGTTGGTCGGTGGCATGATCGAGGTAGGTCTAGCTGGACAAATAGACGTGCACTATATGGTAGAATGACTCCTCAGCAGTCTATACGTGAAGAACCCAGGAAGGAGAGCCCGACGGGAAATTACCTTCAATCAAATAGAGTAGCTGCAAAGAAACGAGCACATCAACGATAGATTCATGGAAGGGAGCGTATAAAATAACCCCCAACGGCGGGGTAATAAGGGAAGGAAGTGGGATAAGTTTAATGCCCGACCCTTTGGTTCCGGTCCCGGAATAACATATATCCATGAATGCACTGTGTGGGGCGCTCCTGGTGGGAATACCGGAAGAAACATGACATTGAATGGTGTCGGAACGTGGACGTTACAGTACGGCCTAGTACGAGCATAGCCAATTGAGTACTTGAGAGTGTAGTCTAAATACTATAGAGGGTGCAGAATAAAAAGGGGTTTTGGAGCTTAGTAAGGTCATTGAGAGCCTTACGATCATGGTTGAAATCTGGCATAAGTTAACTATGGGGATGATGATTATCCTCGGGCGCACTAGTAAAATTGCGGCCCTGTTTTCTCAACAAATGGTGTCGACGATGGGTGAATCGGTAAGGTCTCGGATGTAGCAATGGATTATCACAGACTGATTTCGATCCATCCTGTAATGGCCCCCATGTTACGGACATACCAACACCAATCAGTTGCGGGGCCGCAACTTACTGATGGGCCACCGAGAGCCAAACAACCTATCTGTCATCCGATCACGTGACTGTCAGCCTGAGCACTCAGGGTGCTCAGCCAAGACAGGCGCCAGTCTCGGCTCTTCTTTTACTGAAAAACCCAAGATTACACCACAACGCTAGATGACGGTAAGGCCACTTTCGGCCTGCGACTCGCCATCTCATTGTATACCTTATGACTTGGGTTTGGTTTGGGCCAGCAGGAAAGTGAGGCTGCGCACAGTTCAAGCCCAATACCATTCCCAGTCATCTTATCGGGCTGCGCAAACCTGACTTGTCTCTCAGTCTGCTTCTTTTCATTCCTTATAATATCCTCTCCCCTCTCCTCATCTTTCAGTCATTTTCCATTTGATCCATTGTTTTTGACACAATAAACCACCATATTATCATCATCAGCATATCGACCAATTTCGAATCTCCGCCATGGTTATATTTATGCCCCTCCCGTTGGACGAGGAAATCAAGGCCTTTGAGGATTTGGTTCTCCAGCGAACGTACCGCTTTACCAACCGAGCTCTGATTCGCGAGGCTCTTCAAGGCTCTAGTCTATTCAATCCAGGCGGCAATAAGGTTCTCGCCTTGGCTGGCGACGCCACTCTCCGCCAAATTCTCATTGACCAGGGCCGAGACAGAAACAAGTCACCAGGTAGAGATCCCTTGTCAATTACTATTTTGCACGTGTGCTGACCATGATCAACAGAAGAGATCCAGAATGTCATCACCAAGGTGGCCTCTAATAGCAACCTGAATGACCAGGGCGTTGCCCTAGGCCTTGACCCCTTCATCGTGAAGAATCCGGGCCAGTGGGGCCTTGTGGCTGGGAGGAATGTTATGGCTACCACCATGGAAGCCATAATTGGCGCAGTCCGCTATGACTCAAACAAGAACGGCGATGACTGCGAAAGGGTTATGGCTGCCCTCGGCCTCTCCTGGTTCGAGTGATCCATCGCGGTCACTTCCATGGTACTTCCTTGCCATGGGGGCATAGGGAAGCCTCGATGAGGGGAGAGGGGCGATCCTTTGCAGTGCTGGACCTTTTTCATTCAGCGGTGAAGTGGCCTGCGAAGTGACTTGCATGCCACAGCACTATTGAATGAGCCTTGTCCACCCTGCGATGGGATCTCCCCTATCCCCACATAGCGGCTTCTCTATGGCTCCATGGTAGGGACATATCTCATGAAGAATATGTTCTAGGAATGGAGGAAGACGGTGGAGGAATGGAGTGGGCTTTCATGAGATAGTCACTTATCAACATTGAAATGAAAGTACAAAAGTTGTGCTGAATATGGTACTTTCTCCATCTTAGAAGAAATAGGAAATATTCAGATACCTAGATGTAATCTCAAACAGTCGATTGCGGAGAACGAAGGTCGAGATCCCACATAGCCGCAACACAGGATAGCCCGCCCCATCGGAATCGCCGACACTAACCTACGCCTGCCTCAGTGTGGAATAAGATAATATTTTTTGGGTCTTCTGCAAACCAGCGAGTTTGAAAACATCAATGAAGAGATGAAGTCTGCCACATCATCGGCGCCCGACGAAGAAACATCCACCTAGACGTCCAACAGTGGTGGGGGAACAGAGACAACAATGTGAACAGCGGCAGTGAGAAGCAGTACAATGCTGAGACCCAACATTTCTGTAAGGACTAATTGTCCGAAGTATTCTTTTTAAACCGGCAAAATATTAGAAAGGTCACTTATTCGGCTAGACTGTGTTGCTACAAAAATCTTGCATAATTCAACAGATCCAACTCTCTAACACTATTTCTCATCACGTAGGCTAGGGATACTCTGATTGAATGCTCCTAGGAGCTCACAATAATCCGTCCTAGGGACAGGTTTGAAACCCTTGGCTTACAAGCTTTGGTGCTATTTTCATTGAGTAACACCAGCCAAACGACAGGTAAACTCAACGTACAGGGGCAAGGGGCACACTTCTAGCTGTATTCTACAAAACGGGCTTCTGGTTGGCAGTAAATGTATTGTTGGCAAGTCTTGAACCAGGAGCCCACGTCGACCCTACAAATAAACAACCTTCTGCCTCGAGTAACATCGGCCAGTCCACTCGCGATTCCTCCTTGGCAGGCTGTCAACCTTCAATCTTCATGTCCTCATCAATGCCTACAAGCAGGCAATCTACAAGCTCGGCTGCATCCAACCAGCCACCGCTTGCTGATCAAAAGCTAGGTTTGACCGCCACTGTAAAAGGCGCATGCGCTGCACACCTATCGTTGTGTCATACGGTACACATAGACATCCTCTCTGATGAAATGCCCATGTTACTATGACTCGCCCAGATGGTAGTTCCTGTGCTTGTAAGATGGGGGGTTTTTTTGGCGAATAATCGGATCTGAGACGCTCGAATTTAAATTAGCTAAATACATAAAATTACATCAGAGGCTGCCATTTCTCTGGCAATAAATTGCGTGGTCAATCATCCTCTGACTCGCTACACACGGCCAAGTCATGAGGCAATCGACTTGTCCTGCATAAGTAGACGAGAAGTGAAATTCGATTGCGCCAGGTTTCTTGGAGATTCTCTGATTGTTTGCAGCATTGATATGATCAATCTTCCAGCTCTTTTTCAACTAGATCTATAAACAAACGTGATAAAGCCTTCCGCCGATTACGCTTTGACTCATTCAATGGCGCCCATTCGAGACGTTCTTCGCCGGTTCGTAAATATTGTTCTCGGAACTCTAACCAGAGTGAATTGTCTATCGCCGGCCGTGGATAGAATGGCTCGCCTTGCTGAAAGGCTCTGACTGCTTGTTGGACCCCTGCCCCATCCATGGACATCTCTCCACAAAGATCAAAGTCAAGCACCCACATGCAATGGTCACCAAGCGAATTAAAAATGGTGTCAGCCTTGATTGACTCGCCCCACGGTGGTGCGAGGATATATTCAACTCCGTTTCCGTCAATCCCGCCAATCCAATGCATGGTCGCAAGAGCCTCGGCCATTGTGCGCGTGTATTGTTTCATATGTGTATCAGAGACACCGAGCATTTTCATTTGGTCCACATACAAGGGTATATCTACTTGCGAGTGAATGTGTTGCTCCGGCTTCAAGCTGATCTCCTGTGGCTGGCAGCGACCGAGGTATGGTCTGATGAAACACTCCTTGTCCTTGACATCCAGCAGAACCGAATCTGGCAGTATTCCCTGAAAGCAATGACTGTGTATAAGCAAGCGCATCGTATCCTTTGGGAAAGGAAGCACCCGCTCGGTCAGTATGCAACTGCAAGGCGTGCGGGGTGTAGGAAGGCGTTCATCCATTCTGTCCCACCACTCCTCGTTTGCGGCCGTGATGAAGTTATAACAATCTGGTACTTGAATTCGGGTGCATTTCGGAAGGCTCTGAAAGCTTTGGACAACCGTTTCATGCATCTGGTAGTCGTTGTAAAGTGACCGGTTGGTTTCATCGTTTTCAAATTTGAAAGCGGGACCACCTCCCTCTGGTGTCCATGTGGTGCTGCAGGCGCCGGCGCCTATAATTCTCAATGTCCTTCCGGCCTGAGTTTGGCTGTGAGCACTACTCATGTTATCACTGTAAGTACGTCCGAAGGTACAGTCTGCGGAGGATTGAGGGAAAATGAGGGTATCAGCATCTGAATAACGGCAGAATCCTAAGAGTCCTTCGAAGGACTGAGCTGCGAGGATTCTCCTTTTACTTAGTCATCACCTGGGCTCGATTGGTGCCACGTAGTTTGAAGTTGATTTTGTCCAACGCAGCAATACCACCGTAATTGGTTCATAAGCCTCTATCATCCAAGTCTGGCGAAATCCTTGCATGACATTGGAACATAAGTTAATTGCTTCGTGGGTAATGAAGATTTCCAACGACTAGATTTCTTCTGTTCGTGCTAAAGTGACCTATGGCTCCGAAAATGCAAATATGAATAAATGGATATCTTTTTCATAGGAATTGTTGAGATAAAGTACTGAATTGGGTTGAGTTGTCTTGTTTCTCGGAGGCGGGACTCATCTATTTACATATGTCTTGGTAGTCCCCACCATATGCTTTGACCACCGTGATACTCAACACGATCGTCGAGCGAGGAACTTTACGCAGTACTTGCCTTTCAAATCTTCCCGTATTCAGGCAAAGATGTCTATTCGGAGTGTGGTCTTGAACATCTAAGCCAGACAGAATCGGCAGCACTCCAAATTCAATCTTATGTTTCGTGTGAGCAACCAGATCAACTCGGGAATACCCAGTGTATCATGCCCAGAATCCTATAGATATAGATCCTCTCAACACGGTTCACCAACTTTACCTCATGGGTGGCTCCCTCATTAATATCGCGTACGGGTTTCCTGCGGTCCGTCAGACTCCTTACTTATAGTAACCATCACATGCTTTTTCTTGTTCGTATCAGATACTGAAAACAACTCACCAGGGCTGATTAGGCCTTATTTGTTTTTGATATATGGATTTTATGCTTTTAAACTCCCCAAGCGCTCTAGAAAATGAGCCCGCTGTAACCGTAGCCTAGTCGTTTCCGATTGTCGAAACTTTCACCACCAATGGGATGGACCACCTACGGTGAGACTTTTGCAACGTTTTAATGTAACGACTGACAGATGATTAGACCGCAAACTGTTATCTTCCTACCCTAATGTAACCACCTTCAATCACAACCACAGCTTCTCCTTGAGCATCTCTTTTTTGCAGCTACCCCATTCTTTCAACATATATGTGGTGTCTAAGCCAGGTCAAGTTCTTGCTGGCCGCATAGGCTTCAACATCAAGAATGGCGCATGGTTTATAATCAAATCATAGAGGCTGAGCTGAGACTATAAATGCCCGCCCGCCGCCCCATGACCGTGGCAGCAGACAACCCATTTTTCAACTGAACTCTGATAGTCATCTCTTAAGATCAGTATGAATATGAGTCTTTTGCTGGCCTTTTTCACATCCATCACAGTGGCTCTCGGAGGGACCCTTCATATAATTGACTATGAAGGCCAGTGCTTCGTGTATTCCACGGAAAATTTCAACTGCACTGGGGTCTCAGAGCCATTTGCACCTCTTGAAGGCGCCTTCTGCACCAGTAAGAAACCCACCGACGATGAAGAGTATTCCTAACAGCTTCAAGATCTGAGTGCAGAGCACCATGACACACAATCAGGGTCCAGCCCCGTTAAAGTCAATTTGTGTGGCTCTTACCAACATTCTGCGTGGGTTGAACTGTATCAAAGTGGTTTGCTTTACTTTCACAACGACCAGGGAGATGAAGCGAGCTGCAAGGTTGATAAATCTCTTCGAAAGGGCAGTTCCTGTACCGTCGGTAGCAGTATATGAACCTAGACTTCAAGCACAACACCCCTGCCAGCTTCATCTAACGCTACGCCTGGCCATGTATTAGTTGCGGCAGCGGGATTGACCACGGCAACCTCTTCGGATTTGTCGATCTTTCCGAGTTCTACAATGCATTGTTAGATATGAAGGCAGTCAATAGTCATTGTTTGCCTACGCCACAAGTTGTCATTTTCGGTCTCTTGAATCTAAGTTTACTCGCTGAATGAGGACGCAAGTGAGTGATGGACGTTTGATTTTGTCCCAAGCCTCCCCTTCCTTAGGTTGGCAATTTGACCATAAGACAGTTGCTTCATGTTTCGCGAACATCAAAGTCTAATGGTATCCTTTTTCACAATATTTGAGGCTAGTGACCGTACTGTATGCACTGCACTGTATTTATTAGATACTTGCCATTATTATCCAGTTTCCAAGTACTATCAATGTATTTGTCGACTCGGCACCCAGCCAGAAGGTGTATTAGTTTCAGTTTACCGCTGGGAGGCACATTATCCGTGTGTCAAATTATGTCCCCTGGCCCCTCGTAGAAGTTGAATTTGGACTGAGGCAAGAATATGATCATTTCGTACGTATGGAAACATGTAGCTATGGAAAACTGTTGGCGTCGTCTAAAAACCCAAAGCCTGGTGTTTAACTCCGAGTCCTCCGATTGGGATTCAAAGTCAACTGTTTCTGTCCCTACCTGCTCCCTGTAAACTCCTGCGCTTTATCCCAAAAAGATGTACTGTAGCCAATTGTTGGCTTTGTCTGTCTCTCTGAACATTCTTTGCTTTAGTCGACGGCTATCGGATCACTACCCTTGGCTCCAGCACCGCCCCATACAGTAGCCGAACCGTCTAACCCTCAATCTGGGCCCTATTGACCAGTAGCGGGCAACCAAACCCGTAGTGCCAAGAACTAGTCTCTTTGACGATCACCGTTGAAATTCGTTCATCCTCATCTACCCCAATGATTCGTCAATTCGTTTCAACTAAGATGGTATATTGAGACAGCCTTTAAATAGAATGCTCATTCGGAGAGTCTGATGGAAGCACCATGAAACCAAGGAGTAAGCTTTTAGCACCTACCATGAGTACACATGGAAGCACACTGGGTACATTGACTATCTCTTCTTTTACAACATCACCATTACTGCCTCCAGAAGTGAGCGGGAAATTATACTTATTCGGCCTTAACTTTTTTCATGGCTGAAGGCTAGGGGAAAAATGAAGTCTAGGAAAAAGTGGAATTTTCCTTATTTTATGCCCAGTTTCTCTCTCTGTCCGTACAAACAACAAATAGACATCCAGAGCAGCATATTCGAATACACAGCATGCCAAAATTCGTCAAATCTGCTGGGGCTTCTACAGCGGATTTCGAAAACAGTTAAACCCCCACAGACGCATACGCTTCTTTCCCAGCGCCCCACTCAGAATGCGCTAATCTAACTTTGGCTAGCTGAGGTACCTTTCTTGAGGCGTAGCACCGTATTATTGGCTGCGGGGGAATCTGAAACCCAGCGGATCCAGAATAGACGTCCTTGTGGGTCTCTTGGAGAGAAATCGTGTGTTGGGGGGGGTGTTAAACTGTTTTCGAAATCGTCTGTAGAGAGGAAAAGCTAAGTGTCCCATGCTTCCATGATACGCAGCGACTTGAATATCACGGTTTCCTCCGCCGAATCTCACATGCATGTCGCCAGATGCCGCCGTAGCACCTGGCTCACGAGTGTCCTTCAATAAATTGAGGACCGCCTGAGAATGGTATATCGCTTGGCTCATTCGGTTCGCATTTTCGAATCTTTTGTTTCTGAATCTCCACTTGCCATGAGCATTTTACAGTTTTTCCAGTAGTTTGGTCTCTCAAAAATCGGAGAGCCGTTTTCTCCGATCCTCTACGTATGTGCTAATATTCCGTGCAGAGCATCCCTCGGCTACCAGAAAATTGGGTCGCATGCCAATATTTCGAATACTAAGTGGAAGGGACATGCGCTAATTTTACATCTGAGTTTACCTTAGTCAAGAACCAGAGGCAATGAAAATTAGAGGAGAGATACTGGTTCAGTACCTTCATTGGCCTCTCCAATACAAGGCTTTTGTGGTGGCATTTAGTCACAGACAAATTACTTCGTAAGAACATCTTGTTTTGTCCGGTACATGCTCAACGAAATATCCAACACACTAATCTATGAAATAACCACATGATAATTGGGAAAGTTTACACCCGAAAGAATTCGTTCACATCCAAGTCGTCAAACACGCCAATGGCAGACTGCGAGTTGTTGCACACACGAACATTGTGGATGCTTTGGGTGGGATGATTGCCACGACGAGAATCAGTGACGCCCAGTCTAAACCGACCACCGTCACTGATTTCGACTCGCTGACCAGTCCGTACCAAATGAACCTCTGAGCGGAGCTTATCAAGTAATTCTCGCGAGTGGCGGATCTCAGTAGCCTGCTTTTTAGTTTGACGAACGATGCGATTGAGGGCTACCAGCTTGTCCTGAAGCACTGTCCCATCCTCGTCAAACTTTCCGATCACATTAGCAATGCTATTCTCCCTGGCTAGGAGCTCGGCTTGTCTCTCCTGGCTGACGTTCTCCGACGGATACAGAGGAAGAAGTCTTAATCGAGTTGCAATTTGTCAGCTGACTTCTATGAGAATTTCCCAACAATGATTTTCACGTACAGAAAAGGGTCGATGATGCTCGACAAAAAGTCCTTCCACCGGGATAGCCGTTTGCTAAGCAATTGCACCTCTAATTCTCCAGAAATACCGAAGCGATCACGGTTCAATTTGCGAGTTGTTCCACCCAACGAGCGGTCAATAAAAGCGCGAAAAGTCTTTTCAAACTCGTCGCATGTCTCTTCGCAGTCCAGTAGGAGTGAATGAACGTGCGCTTCGATGTCATTCCTGGCCGTGGCCGGGGAGCAGCCAGAGGCGAGTGAAAGGCGGTGTACAACGGGTTCAAGAGAAGCCAAATGATTCAAGAGGTCAGCTAAAGCCTCAGGTGTGTCTCCAGTTGTTTTGATTTGGTCTGAAAGAGCAATGATGCTCAGTCGGGCATCTGTTGCAACCAACACAGTGCTGTAGGACACATTGATCGGGTTGGTCATTCTGAACTCGCAAGTTCATACAAAGTCGAATGATCACAACGAGGCAGAGGAAGAGGGTAACAAGAGAAAAATTTGTTGGGAGTGAAAAAAAGGCAATATATTTGGAGGGGGTTCCGACCTTATAA